TATATGATTTGGTTATATTTCATCAGTTCATTTAAAAAAATTATTTGAACTTGAGATTTTCTATTCATATAATACTGTAAATTGTGTTGGAATTTCCAAGTTAGTTCACAAAAACTTCTTTACCTCTTAACACTCAGCAAATTATTGCCTTAAACTTACTAATACTAGCAGATTAGGTCAGGGAGTCTGGGTAGACCCACCAGTGGGTTTACTATTAATGGTAGGGCAAGATGACATCTCATTGTTATTTTAATTTGCATCTTTCAAATGGCTGATGATTGCCCGTATTTTTTATATTTGTTGGCTGCCGAAATGTCTGTAGTGATGTGTCAGCTGTCCATTTTAACTTTGGGTTATTTGTCTTTTTCTAGTTTAAGTCTTGAAGTTTCTATGAATTTTAAAGATTACTCCCTTGTTTGATATATCATTGCCAGATCCCCCCACCCCCCACCCGTTTATGGGTTCTTTTTAATACATATTGTGTGTCTAATTTTTAGGAGATCCCAATCATCTAGTTTCTCTTCTGCTATTTGTGTTTGCAGTTAGGTTTGATAGTGTATTTAGTGTGTCTGTACCACATGGTAGGGTGCTAAGTGCGTCCCTGTTCTTTCATTGAGGAGTCTTTTGCTCTAGGTTTTACATTTGCGTCATTGATCGAGCTTGAGCTCAGCTTTTGTAGATAGTGTGAGATAGGGGTCTTGTTTTATTTTTCAGCAAATGAATTTACAGTTTTCCCAGAACAATTTGTTAAAGACACTCCCTCTTCCCCATTGTAATGCATTTTCATTCTTTGTTAAAGATCAGCTGTCTACAACTGAATGTATTTGCCTTTAGATTCTTGGTTCTATGCCACTGGTCTATCCTGTCTCCCTGAAAGTAAGACATCCCCCAAAATAAGACCTACTTATAGTTTTGCCTCTCGCCAAAATATAAGGCATCCCCCCGAAAATAAGACCTCCCCAAAAATAAGGCCCCCTGAAGCTACCGTAACTCTGGACTCTGGACCAAGCGCCGCTGCGCAGCTCACTGTTGGCCGCAGCGCAGCCACAGCAGACAGGAAGTGCGAGGTCTCTTTTAATAAAACAATAAATAAATGTGTACTGTATTCTTCTTCATGGAAAAATAAGACATTCCCTGAAAATAAGACCTAACGCATCTTTGGGAGCAAAAATTAATATAAGACACTGTCTTATTTTAGGGGAAACAGGGTATATGTGCCCTAGTAGGCTGATTTGACTACTTTGACTTGTTTTGAGACTAGGAAGTAGAGGCCTTCTACTTTGTTCTTTAACTACGTAGTGCCTTGCTTATCTAGGGATCCTATCTTTTTAAATACAAATATTGCACATATTTTTATAATCATAAAAGCGAATGAAATGTAACTGAGTTTTATGTCCCTTTAGATATTTAATAAAAGTTGTTATAAATTTGGAAATTGATAGAGAACATTAACACTCCATTGAGAGAACACAGCTGAGTAGTTGGTTAGGCTCATTCATTAGCCAGTTCTTTTACCTC